GGTTGGGTGGGTGTGGGGGTTTCTCTCAAATAATAATACTCCATCTGTTTAAGAAAAAAGAGAATGATTTTTGAACTGGTAATGTAATATGAAACACATATATTTTATAGTTACATAAATTATTGCATAAAGGTAAATTATTTCTAAATATGAAAAGAGATAATTCTTTTTAGCACGGACTAAAAGAAAATAGATTCATGTAAATTGAGACAGCGGGAATAATAGTAATGCAAATTAAAGATAAGTGAGAAAGAGGGGTTGGAATGGTTTCAAATTTGTGAATGAGACACTTTGCTAAAGTATTGTTGGCAACCTTATCCATTTGTTGCATGGCCATTAAAATAAGAAATTAATTGACCAATGTGGCTATTGCAAGGACACAAGACAAGTGGCCTTTTTTTATTTTATTTTATTGCATGTAGTAGCCATACACGCATCAACGTTTTGGGATTTCTTAATATGCATTAAATAACTTAATATGCCTTTGATTTGTGATTAATTAGGAAATGGAACGTTCACTATGTGGAATATTCCATTAGTTTGAATTTGATTAGAAGAATAATTCCTACCTAATCTTAAACTTTAATCTGATTGTTGCCATTTATTATTATTTATTGATTGATGAATTTTCCAGGTAAAGAGGAATTTTCTCAGGACAAGTGTTTGGAACAAAAAAAATCCGCGTTAAGCAATATATTTTACATGCTTACTATCAATATATTAATTAATATATCGTCTTTGTACTGTCATCTTAATCTATTTTCATTATTTTTATATATTAAAAAAAAATCTTCATTTGATATGTTGATTGTGCATGTTTAGCAAACACTTCAACGCGTGATCTACGTGTTTATACTTTTCCAGTTTTCCTTGAACAATTCCCGTTTTAATTAAGTAACAATCTTATTTTTCTTTTGATCTTTTAAATGTTAAAAACCAGTACTTCATCCGATCCACAATAAATGATCAATTTGCTTTTTTATTTTGGTCCAAAATAAGTATCCATTTATATAATCAAGAAAAAATTCAATTTGTTTTTCCAAAATTAATCTTATGTACATATCCCTAAAAAGTCCTTTACTTCTCATATTTGAGAAGAGAACTAAGTGCTGCTATAACTATGCTGCAATATTTAATTAAGGATAGTTTAGTCAAATTAACTATTTTTGTCTAGAATTTAATATTTCCTTAATAAATGTATCCAAAGTAAATTGGTCACTTATTGTGGATCAGAGAGAGTATAGTGCAAGTGTGTATACATTCATTTATGTTTCTATTTGTATGAGTTGCTATCAATTTTCCACAGAAAGAAGCGGTACTTATTTCATGGATAGTCATTCAACTTCAAATTTATTACACTAAAGTCATCAAATTAATTTTTATAATAAAAAAAATTCAAATATGTAAAATTGAGTTTGTATAAAATGGCTTTTAAGTATTGTGTCATGCCACCAATTTATCTTACATAATATTCACATCGCATCACTTAGAAATATAAAAAACTCATTTCTAGCCCTCTCAAAAAATAAAAAAAAAATGATGTGCCACTTGGTGAAAAATATGGTGTACTAATTAAGTTGGCTTTATAACATTTTAAACTTGTGTCACGTGAACTATACAAGATAATTAAGTTGTTGAAGTGGCAACCTACTTGTATTTCTAATATCAGATTTCGCATTGTTTAATTTTTTTTATTTTTTCTGACATAAAAGCAGAGTTGAATTGTTTTCCGTTATAGAAACTAGTGTTACGGCTTTGGTGCGAAAAATTAAAGGGATTTTTACCTATCTATACCATATATCAAACCTTATTACCCTCAATGTTTAAGGTTTGTGTTATTACATTTAAGCATACCAAATTACCATTTCTATACCATAATTTAAATTAGGGATATAATTAAGGGTTCATTTATATTAGGCATAATTATAGGATTGTATCTTCCCACTTTCTCTTTCCTTTCATCTCAACTATTCACAACACACACACAACTCACGATGCTCCTATGCTTCCTCTCGTTGATCATCCCCAACTGTCCACCACCGTCGAAGAATATCATATTTTCAGATTCACAAGAAAATTTTAAATTCTTTGATCGAACCGCTTGAATTCCCACTGGAAATAATAATGGCAGAGAGTTCGAAATTCTTTGACCTATTTTTTTTTTTTGGCAGTGGTTGAAGGTTACTGGTTAACACAGTCGATTGAAACTCGTCGAAGAAGAAGAAGACATATTTCCAGAATTTGTAGATATTTTGTAGTCAAATTGTAGTCAAATTAGAAAAATTGTAGATAAATTGTAGACTGTTTTTTGCAGAAGATTTTGTAGAAGCTTTAGTCGTTTTGGATTTGTGAAAACAGAAAATAATGCATCTACAATCAGAATACAAATAATCTACAATTTATCTACAAGATATCTACAAAATAGATACATTGAATTTTAATATCCAAATTCTCATTTCAATTGTAGCATAATTGGCATTTTCGACATAATTGTAGAAGATTTGTAGAAGTTTTAGTCTTCCCGATCTACAATTCATCTACAATTTATCTACAATTTAACTACAATTTATCTACAATTTCTGGAAATATGTCTTCTTCTTCTTCTTCTTCTTCTTCTTCTTCTTCTTCTTCTTCTTCTTCTTCTTCTTCTTCTTCGAGTTTCAATCTAAAATTCAGTCAAAACCAAGTCTAGTCTTTACCAAAACCCCTCAAAATTGAGATATAAACTCCTAAACATATTCCGAATTATTTACAACAACACCCAATCCAAACAAATAATGATTTTTGAAAACCCAAATTTGAATTCAAAGCTTTCAAGCTTTTTAATGGCTATCAATGATGGAAAATATATGGAAGAACAAATGAAGATGAAGATGAAGATGAAGAACAAAAATCTCCTTTCCGTTTGATTACTGGAGCTTCAGTAGCTTGCGTTTTTTGAGAATTGTAGTTGAGTGAGAGAAGAGAGATCTCTTTCCGTTGAGGAAGGAGAGAATTGCACAACAATTCGAATTTAATGTTGACAGAATCACACGCAGATCTGGTGCCTTCATTTTAGCGCGTTTTTATGGCAAAATCTACCTATTTTTGGATTGGTATATAATTTGTAGTAAAAGTGTGGGCTACACGGGTAAATAATAAATTATGAACATTTTTGGTAATAAGGTTTGATATATGGTATAGATAGGTAAAAATCCCAAAATGAAAAGTTGAAAGTCCATATGTGAAAGTGGGGAGAAATTCAAAAATAGCCAGATTTACAAGTAGTCATTTAAAAATAGCCACAGTTTTAAAAGTAATCGAAATTTAGTCACTTTTTATGTAAAGATAAATCTGAACGAAAATACTGTTCAAAATCCGAAAAATACTCCAGCATAATATACTAGAGTTCCAGCATAAGTATACTGGAACTCCAGCATAATATACTGGAGTTCCAGTATAATATACCGGTCCAACATAATATGCTGGAAGTTCATACACAGGTATTCTAATCTCCAGTATATTATGCTGGAACTTTTCGCGTGTTAGAGTTCCAGCATAATATGCTGGAAGTTCATACACAGGTATTCTAATCTCCAGTATATTATGCTGGAACTTTTCGCGTGTTAGAGTTCCAGCATAATATGCTGGAAGTTCATACACAGATACACCGATCTCTAGTATATTATGCTGGACCGGTCCCTGTTGCATAAAAAATAGTACCTATTTTTCAATGACTTTGCAAACACTGACTATTTTTGAATGACAAACCGCTCTATTTTAACGTGAAAATGATTATACATATAGATTGGAGGACCTAATCGTTTAAGGCATTGATTATTGTGTTATTTGGCTTTAGTTATTTATTTTTCTTCACTGTATGAGAAATGTGAGCTTAGACAAATACATAAACACCATTGGCTCTACCATGTTTAGCTGTCTTAGCAATACATTTAATATTTTCTATGAACCTATATAAAAAAGTATTTTATTGAATGATTGTTAGTTTTACAGTTGATGTAATAGCTATGATGTATTGTGACACCCTAGACGAATTCCACATCGACAAAATATAGGAGAGATATTGGATATATAAGTAGACAGACCATAGATCATAGTGACGCATTTTAAAGCCGTACGGGCCTAGGCCAAATTCGGACAATAGCACTAGTGCGCTGAGCTGTTACATATGATATCGGAGTCACTCCGCGTGCAACCTTGAACGAACACAATAGCACTAGTAGATTGGGCTGTTACTTAGTATTTCTCAGCAATGTGCAGAAGATGAATAAAAAGCTCAACAGGTTTTGACATCATAACCATATGATCTGATCCTTCAATCTCTTTCACTTCATCTGTTGGATTCATTTCAATCATCCATTCTTGAATTTCCCTTGTTACTACCTTATCTTCATTAGATATAATAAACACTCGATTAACCGATCCATAATTATTCTGTGACAAGATTAGTTCCTTTGACATGTCTTCATCAGTGTACAAATATAATGGTCTCACTAATGTTGTTGCCAGTGCCAAATCCTGAAACAAACAAGACTTAAATTTTTGGTTAAGTACTTAAGTACAATTTTTGATCTATAATTGTTTGAGTAAAGCTTGATGCGTTTTCTTACCTCTACAGGGCTCAGCTGATAGACATAGGTTGCTAGGTGTTTTTGGCCAAAGTTGAATGTGGTTGGAGGATTATTAGGTCCATTATCATATGTGTAATGATTATCAAGCTGTGGATTCTGTTTCCTAAGTAACTTTTAACAGCAGATAAAAGATATTAATCCATAGAAAAACCACAATAATATCAGAATTGCTCCAATAGTAATCAATCAAATTACTGATACTTAACAAAAAATACTTCCCAAAATCAATGTCCATAACATCTAAGTATAGTATACGTAAGGGCTGTAAGGACTCAGTGTCATTATTTGCAAGTTGAAGTTTGGCGATGGTCTTGCAAATTTTCACAGTCCAGCCCACTAGTGATACGGTATGTTTTGGGCCTAGGCCCGCACGCTTTAAAATGTATCACTAAGATCTAATGCTTGTTTACTTATATACCCAACATCTCTTATGTGTTTTGTCGATGTAGAATTCGCCTAGAGTGTCATATACACCCCCCCTTAGAGACTCAGCATCCTCGCTGAGGTTTGCCCTACTATTATTTAAGGTTGCACGCGGATTGGATCCGATAACATATGTAACAGTTCAACCCACTACTCATACAGTCTGCTTTGGGTCTAGGCCTCACGGCTTTAAAACACGCCACTAGAGTCTAAGACTTATTTTCTTATATACCCAACATTTTTCCCGTATTTTGTCGATGTGGAATTTGGCTAGGGTGTCATATAAATACTAGTAAAATATTGAAATACTTATTTGAAGAGTATTCAAAGTGACTATATTGGTTTTCCACTTTCTTTCAAAGGGAAACTCACATCTAAACACAATTGCAACTTCCAAGCACTATTTTTTCAACTCCAACTAAAGATTATCCAAAAGACTACTAAACAAAATTGGGACTAAAAGAAAAAAAAGAAGCAAAGACCTAAACTTAAGTCAGAGAATTCCAAGCAGTTTCAACTAAAACATATCCTGTCATATAAGATAACCTGTGCCAATCCAAAACAGCAAAAGGGCATACCTCTTTTATGAGTGTAGAAATGTTGAGAGTTGGACCAGGCATTACAGCAGTGACAAAAACAGCAGCAGAGATCTTCTTTGGAAACGTTTCCATGGCTCGCGAAACAGCCAATCCACCAAGACTATGACCAACAAGGACCACCTTATTATTTGGAGAAAGAGATACCATGAAGTTCATCAGTGGATTAAAGTACTGAGAAATAGATGGAATATCAAGTGGCTGCTGAGGATTAATCCCAGAAGCAGCTAAGTCAATAGCTGTTACATTGTGTCCTGAAGATGTTATTAAGGCTATTAACTTGTACCAAGACCAAGCTCCATGACATGAACCATGAACTAGCACAAAGTGTTTGTTAAGTTTACGCGATTCCTTCTCCAACCTTTCTGCTTAGCCAAATTGGATAGAGAAGAGCAGAACAAAGCATAGTACTACCATGTTCATCTTCTCCATCATTTCTTTTCTTCTTTTGACTAGTGTGGACATAATAATGAACTTATATTCACTTTCAAGCTTAAGAAGATTTGACAAGCAAAGCAGTTATATCATCTTTTACTTTATCACCTTGACTACAAGATTGTTTAATCGGATGTTGTTTCTTTGATATTGCACCAAGTCAAAGATAAGGACTATTTTGTACATTGTCTAGGAAAAGAGAGTACCTTGTGGTAAGTATATGGTAAGTTTAGGCCTGAGTTCAACATTTGGATGAAACCTTGTCCTGTTCTATTATGGTAAGTGTAGGCCTGTGTTTTCGCCTGAGTTCCCTATAAGCACTCCTTTTGCTAATTATTACTAGCAAAGGGAAGAAATTGGACTTATTTAGGAGCTATATTATTCCAAGCTATGTCTACAACAATCAAATAGAAAAGGATATGGACTAGATGAATAAAAATGAGAATAACTTGAAAGGTATGTAGCATATTCATATGCCGGATACTAACATGTAAATTATTCAATTAACAATAGACATATTTCTTCCCTTCAGGAGAAAAATAAAACAGTAGGAAAGGTGGACTGCGCTAAGAGTAGATGGTCACATCAACGAATTAGCCGACTTTTCCTCACAATTCGAAGAGCGTGTGAGGATAAAAAGGTGTTGAGTAAACTAACATAAGTTATTTACACCGTGGGGAAAAAAAAAATAAGAAACTAAAAACAAGCTGCAAATTTGCATCAAGAAATTCAAGCAGGAGGCATTGAGGTTGAGATGAATCTTGCCCATCCTGAAGCCCATCCTGAATCTTGCCCACGGCTGTGCTATGATCTGCATGAAGATTCTCGGAATACATATTGGCTTTCTCCTGGATGGATTTCTGAGAAACTTGTGAACCAGAAGAAGCACCTTTGGTTGCGGCTAAATATGCTTCAGCTACATCTGATATGCCTGCAAAAGCATAAACATAAAGTTCATCATGCATCACATCTTACTTATTTACACCCGAGAGATCAATAGGCAAACATTTTCCATGACAACAGAAATGAGATGCCTCTTTGTTCTTTTAAAAGCCTTCTTCAAAGCAGAGGCAAAAAAATACTAGTACTTATGTTATAATAGGGGCAAACCACATGCTTTCCCCAAACATGGTAACCTCATTCTTACAAAACATTATTCAGACTTGTATTGTGGAGTTTAGCATAACCAGACATCACACAATTGAAATAAATCAATCGATCAGTTTTAGAGAGAACGCCAACCATCCACTACTACACTGCCAATTTATTTCGCAAACTGCAGAACGACATACTTGATGCAAGTTTACATGTAACAAAACTGGAAGAAACTGCTTCAACACATCTGATCATTGATTGTGCCTTTGCTCGGATAACATTTGCTCTTTCAATAGAATCCTCAGGCCAATCAATTTTCCAAGATTCCTCCTTGACATCTTGGTCCGCAACTTTATTTGCATTGGAAATGATTGACTTCCCAAGCATCAGAAGTTGAGTCACAGCAAAACAGCTCAGTTCTGAAAGCCTCTGTTTTGGTAAAGAGAATCAATTACAAGTCAAATAGACCCATGCTAAAAAGGGGATACCGTTTTCATAAGAAAATTGCAGACAAACTGAATGTGCATACATACATGAACACCCTCTGAATGAAGGGTATCCAGTCTCCCATTTGTCCTTTGAATCATGTCATTGGGAGCTAGTCCAGCCAAAACATTTACAAATCTGCAATGAATTTAAACAAGACATCAACACCACTAACCTAGTTATTAGAACTAGTTGCACAATTTTCAGTTAACCAGTCATTCATTATTATGCAACTCAGTGTTCGGATTCAAAAAGCTATCCAATTTCTCCATCAGATTACTCCTTTCATTCATTTCATCAGAACTACAAAAGTTCACTAGTGTCATCCTTCATCTGCCTGACGGGCATAACCAAGCTTGCTTTTTCTTTCTTTTAAATAAGGCAAACAATTTTATTAATGTTGGGGAATCCCCGTATACAAGCAGTATAATTAAAAAGATCATACACAAATCATCATTATATGAATGTAAGTAGGGGTGTCAATTGAGCCCAAACCCATTTAATCCACCCAACCTGCCCAAGGTTGGGACGGTCATTGACCCGTCCATTTGTTGAATTCAGTCCATATTGACCCAACGCATCTAAAGTTAGGCTGATTTTTAGCCCAACTTGATCCATGGGTAATTGTCACGCCCCAAGCCTACGGGTGAGACCGGCACTCAGTGCCTCAATTATCCTTGCGTATCACTTGCGACTAAGAGACTCTGAACATGTAATGTCATATTTTGGTCATGGGCCACATTGCAAGATAATGTGCGATGCAAAATATAAAACTGAATAGAGACTAACGCTGACTAAACGGCAACATAAAGTTGGGCCGGCAAGGCCGTATATTTTTACTATAACTGACAAGCCAACAAAATATACATACAGGGTCTACAAGCCCAACATACTGTACTAACTGACAGAATATATCTACAAGCCTCTACTGATAGATGTACTGTGATCGGAACAGGACCCCGACGTACCCTTAACCCATCTACATATATGCACAAGGTGTACTCCAAACTGCTAGACCCGGCAACTCCGAAAGAGGGGGAGCTTACCGATAAGGCTGAACTCGGACATACACCTACTGAGAAGGTCTACTCGTCTGTCTGTCTGAACCTGCACGCATGAAATGCAGTTCCCCCAGAAAGGGACGTCGGTACGAAATAATATACCGAGTATGTAAGGCAATATACTAAAGCTGAAACTTAACTGATAATATAATAACTGAAAACAACTGGGAGTCAAGAAAATCTGAAGATATGCTCATCTGCTGATACTGACTCAACTCTCTCAATATAGTGAGTAAAATAGCTGTCCGACCCTATAAGGCTCAGTATACATATATATCTGCTCTTCCGTAGTAAGCTCGGCTCGCTCATAAGCGCTCGGCCATACTAGGCTCTGTATCTCGACCAGCTGGGCTCACTCATAAGCGCTCGACCACAGTAGGCTCGGTATATAACTTACCATCTTATTAGAGGTTGCCCGATAGAGGTCTGCCCATCGATTATAGCTCGATGGTAATGAAAATACTTTTAATACTATATATATGTAAACTCTCTGCTCTTTTGACCGGAAGAAGGAAATATTCAACTGAATACGCAATCCCGATAAGAAGAATATGGTAACTTACAAAACTAGGAAAACATATGTAATTTGCAAGACTAGCAAAATATACGTAAATTCCGGGATACGAATTTTTCTTTATGCCTCGTTATCAAACTTGTGTAATTACGATATTATGCTAAAATGAAGGAAAAGCTTAGCCTTTGTTAGATATGTACATAATGTAGTCTTGTCCCACATTGGAATAGGAGTAGTATGTCCTTGTATAGTATAACTATAAATAAGGACCTCTTGTATTGTATTGAACACACAATATCAATATATCATATTTTCTCCCGTGCCTTCTCACATGGTATCAGAGCTATCGTGAGAGATTTATCGCTGTGCATAAATTCCAGCGATTCCGGGAAGTGAAATCAGTCATCGGAACCCTTTTTGCGGCGATTATTCAAAGTTGTTTTGCGTCTGCTTTGTCTCGGTCAATGTTGTGCAAAATCCAACACTACTACAAGAGTAGTCACTGTCCGATGACCAAACCCCAGTGAATCTCCGGCAATACTGTAGCTGCCGGAAGAAACTTTTTCGGCGAAGTTTCGACATCGCGTGGGCCACCTTGCGGCCATTTTTGGCGACGACTCTTCAGGACAGATTGTTCCCCTTGCAATTCCGAGCCTACCCATCCAGGTTACACCAAATTACGACCACTTTTATATTTTTCTGACGTGAACAGTGATTTCAGAAGTGGACTGCCGGCCATTTTTTGAAAAAGTTTCTTCAGAACAGTTGGGTCGTCTGGTAATTCCGATCCTACCCCTATTGTTTTTATTTCATTCCAATCACTTTGAATTTTTTCGGCTGCTACAGTATTTCTGGCGTGAACATTGCTTTCCACGCAGAACAATGTTAAGTTTCCGGCGCAGAAACAGTGTTTTCTTAGCGCTTTCTTCAGTTTTTCCAAAAGAGTTACTAATTTTCACTATTTCAAGTTAATCCTACTACTATTAATTGTAGCGACATGGGAACCGATACTTCGAATAGTCGGATGGTTTCTTTAGCGGATTATTTTGAGTTTCTTCAATACAAAGCAGGTAAGCAGACATCTTCTGAGATAGCTTCCGTTGTTCAAACAGGTAATAGCGTGACTTGTGTCTCTCAATCTTCATCTTTTGAGTCTTGGGTCATTGATTCAGGTGCATCGGATCATATTTCTGGTAACAAATCTCTTTTCAC